TATACAATGTTAGATATATCATAATGTATGTTGTATCTTTAATTACAAAGTTATATTTTAACAAGGTTTTTACTTATATCATAGTCCTCTACATAAAGTGACAAGTATGAATAACAGAAAGTATTTTCTCATTATATTTTGTAAACTCTTTGACATTTGAGGAAAGTTATATCCAATAATTGAAATAAAGTCAATATCTAGTCACTTTGACTAGCTCTATTTGATTATTCTTATCAAAAGCCTAAAGATCATTGTGGTATAAAATGCTATTAATTTAATCAAGACTTCAAAACATTAACATATAATACATCACACAATTGTGCTTCTCATTTCTAGCTCACGCTAGGTTATTTTCTTTTTTTTGATGTTTTTTTCCGGGAACGGGAATCGAACTCACGACCTTGCGCTTGCCAGCCAGGCGCTGTGCCACTGAGCTAAATCCCCAGCCCCTAGGTTATTTTCTTAGTTCAGTCTTCATTCTTTCTCATAGAAATGTGCTTGAAACAAAGATAAACTTACATACAATAGCCGGCTGTACTGCTAAAATTCCTACCATTTCTAACCAAAATATGAATATGCAGACAGCATTCTGTAGCCAGCATTCTTTTTTGCCACAGGTACAAAATTATCCCTTTTTTGATGCTACTTAGCACATGCAAGTCAGCATTTGCTTGCTGAATTTCAGAATTTCTAATGTTTACTTTTTCAAACTTACACTTGCTGATGAAGTGCTTACTAATCAGAATTACTACTGTTTTAGACAAAAATATATTCACCTATAAATCAGTAGACACAAAATTAATAAAAAAAAATCAGTTGGTAACTAAGTTTAAAGAGAAATACCTTTAGCCTTGAGGGTTCTGCATTTTTGACAAAGAAAATTTTATTATATGATCATCTTGGTTGCAAGTAAACAAAACAGGCTCCCCCTCGTAAATAACTTCTGCAGAGATCTGAGGGCTTTATTCCAACTGCATTCATACGCATATTGGACTCTTTTATCCATTTTGGGGAAAAAAAAAAAAAAAAAAATGTCTCAAGTCAGAAGACTAAACAAAAGCAGGTGAACGCAGCAGTTTGCCTGAATTTTGAAGGATGTGTTCCAAGATCCTTCCCGGTAGATGCTGGAAGCCACCCGTAGTACCAAACCCTGTAGTTCCTATTTTCTTGCTCTGCACACATACCTGTGATTACAGACTAATTTATAAAGTAGGCACAGTAAGACAGTAAACAAAAGAAAACTTGTAATAAAAGAGAATATTACAATATACTTTAATAAGGGTTATGTGAATGTGGTTTCTCACTCTCAATGTACAGGAAGATTTTCAGGCCTCAAATGACCTCCTGTAACTGAAAGATGAAAAGCAAAGGCCTGGATGAGAGGGAGCTGCCGCGGAGCACTGAAGAAAACACAACTTCCCCTACTTCGCTCTGTGATTCTAAAGGACACAGGTCACTGTAATCTGGCAAAAAGCTTCTCCTCCAATGATGTCATACTGAACTTCAGTCACCACTGCTGCAGGAAAGAGAATCAGGTCCTTCCCTTCAAGTAATAGCCTGGGGGAGGAGGGAGGCTCCCGGAATACCCAGGGCACTCGCACTCACCGGAAGGCCTCTGCACCTCTGCCTGTAAATTCCTCAGGTGGCTCAGTCAGCTCTGAGAGCACCCACCCGCTGTACAGGGCTTTAAAGGTGAAAATCCATTTTTCTCGTCAATTTCCTTTTCAAATAACTGTGGATACACAAATTATTAATTACAGCTACTTCCCTGACTTGTATGCAATTTCTGGGGAAACCAAATTACTAAATTTTGAGTAAATAGGAGAAGTGTTTTAACACATCAAGAATTTAGTAACAAGAATGTGGGCATGGGTAATCTCATGAGGAAACACTGCTGGAACATGTAATGTAATACAGTATACAAGCTGTGATCACAAAAGAGGAAGTTAGGCTCATCTGGTTTTACCAAAAACAATGATCACATCTGGTTTTTCCACATTTATTCTTTCAATCGATTATTTTGTTATCTTTTAGAAATATATATTTTACTTTCTACCAAAACTCAGAAAGCCTCAGTAAAACCTTCCACAGCATCCTGCTGGCTTTTGTGGTCAGTGAGAAGTTAAGAAACAGGGCTCAAGAGTCCTATTTTCAAAGTCCTCTTATACTGCACAGCTTTATTTCCAAGAACAGAGTTCAAGGAAGGAAAGAAGGTTCTCTTATATGCGGAGAAACCTCTCAGATAGTCTACTTCTGGCCAGAGGCTAATGTTAACTTCCTTTTAAAACAGAAGGGTAAAGCCGGGCACAATGGCACATGCCTGTAATCCCAGCACTTAGAAGGCTGAGGCAGGAGGATCACCTAGAGCTCAAGGCCAGCCTGGGGTACAAAGTGAGTTCAAGGCCATCCTGAACTGCATAGTGAGATCACCTCAGAAAGGACAAAAACAACAACAAAAAACAAACACACACACACATAAATTTGAAGGTACCAGGGTGTGACAGTGCACACTTGCAATCCCAGCTACCAGGGGCTGAATTAAGAGGATAATTTGAGCCCAAGAGTTCAAGACCAGTGTGGCAATAAAGGAAGACTGTCTCAAAGGAGAGATAGGGGTTACTAAGGCTTAGCAGCACACAGGGAAACAAAGCTTGCAGACTAGTCTGAGCACCCTCTGAGCTTCTGCCCATTAGTGTGTGGGGTGTGCGTGTGCATGTGCGTGTATGTCCGCAGGAGAGAACCGCATGTACTTCTTAGACCTTGGGGGTTAAGCTTCAAAATGCAAGACAGAAAGACACAAAGAGCAGCCTAAGTCAGGTGGAAGAGTAAAAAGGAAAGAAACAAAAAAGGACAAAAGGGCTTAATTACGTAAGAGAAGAAAAGAATGCTCCTTTCTCCCACCACATAATTTTACACTGCAAAACTTTTCACATGAAAATGCACGCAGGCAGGGGGAAAAAAAAGCCCTGAGCCTACAAATTCTAATGCACACAATTTGTCCTTTCGATGAGTGATTGCCCCATTACTTTAAAAAGGGACGAGTGGGAGCTACGGAATTCTCACTTCACATTAAGGCTTAGCGTGATCCTCTCCGCCTGGGCCCTACACTACCTTCACGACCTTTCTGTTAGTCCCAATTTCTCATTTATTCTCAGGCTTTCTTTTTAAAGTATTTTTCATGCACTTTATTATGGATCTCTTCCTTGAATTCTGCTAAAATTTTCCATTTTACTTTATCTTTCCATGTACTAAGAAGAAAAATGAACAGCTTGTAAAAAAATCTCAACTGTCACATTACATGAGAAAGAAAGCACTGTAAAATAATTGAGCACGGCAAAAGAGAAAATCACTTTTCCCACAGACTCTCCTGAATATTATATACTAGTAAACTTATACCTGATGGCAGCTATCAAATGCAATTTTTGTTTAGAAACTATTTTTATAAAATCTTTTGTCATAATCTTGACAAGATACTCTTACTACACCTTTTAATAATCTTCTCTAATTCAACCGAGATAGTTTTATGATTCAGCAACCCTTTGTATTTGGAGACAAATTAAGGCATTTTTCCTTTGAATGAAGCTATTTAAGGAAATTGTTCTAACTTTTAAAAAAGCCAAATGACAAGTGTATAATTTGGTGAAGAAAAGTTCTGTGTTTATACTCAATCTGCTAAGTGAAATGATACAAGAATGCAAAATTACACATTTAGGTGCAGACTCAAGGTTTTTTGATTCACCTGTAGAGAAAGAACTTGCTTTTTAACTATTGTATAGCAAAAGTTATCAGTAGACTTGAGTAATTATAAAATATAATACAACACTTTTGGATCTAGTAGGGGAGAAAAAGGGCTTCTCTTCAAGTGTATTTTTAGTAAATTCCTTCACCTTCCCATAATGGTCTCAACCCTACTTCCAATGTCGAAAGGCAGCTCCTGTCCCTGCATTCTGTTCTTATTCATTCGTGTCAGTATAAGCCAGCATCAAAGATATACAATACCAGCAGTTTCAGAATTGCTTCCAGAAATCTTCGGCAATACTGAATCAGGTCTGCTCAATACCTAACCCCTGCAAGTTAGTTCCACCTGTTTTAAATGCAAGTTCCCATTCCTTTCTCCATCTCTGAAGAAAAAAGGCCACTCGAGAAAAAAAAGCTGTAGATTTTCTAGTGGGAAGGCCGGAATTTGACAAAGGTGATGAGGGCAAGGCCAAGCATAATTCTTGTCTCAGTGGGAGACTGAGCAGAAGAAAATCCTTACACAAAGAGCTACGTGCTGAGCCCCAATGTGGACATTTGCAGCGCACAGTGACACTGAGTAGAGGAGGTTTCTGCAGAAGAAAAGGATTCAGGGAACTTTGTTTTCCACTCACGAGGACCAAGTAGACCCTAGGTATTAATGCTACAAATGACAATGCTGCAACAGAAGAGAAAGCCCCTTGTTTCTGTGCTAACTCCAGGGCTGCATTTTAGTGTAAGCCGCAGTGATCCTGGAGAGGAAACCAAGAGACAGACAACAGCTCACAAAAACAGTGACTTCTCCCGAGTTCTGTGGTTGTTTTATTACACTCTACATTTTCCCACCCAAACTATTTACTACATACACTTACATTAGACTTACCCTATACTTCCCCAAAGTGATAATTTAGATATATCAATTACAAAAATAAGAATGCAACAGGCATTTAATTCAGTGGCAACTGTAATAACAGTTCTCAAGATACTCACTAAAAAGGTTCTCAGATACCATCTCCTTAGTTTTATAGAAACTTAAAACTCCACAAACTTTTAGCTGTGTAATGATCGACCCAGGTTTTATTCACCTTATGTATTAATTCAGGTAAGGCTGCCCACACAACTTCTGCCTAGAGCAGAGCAGCCCAGCCCAAACCTTTACAAAGAAGGAAGGAAGGAAGGAAGGAAGGAAGGAAGGAAGGAAGGAAAGAAGGGGAAAGAAAAAAAGAAAGAAAGAAATCATTCAGTAATCCTTCATCAGTGCTGACCTTGTTGTTCAATGTCTGCTTCAGTTTTTGAAGAACCTGGTGCAACAGGAAGGGGTCGAGGTGGCCTGGGCTTTGGAGTGGGAGGTGAGATTTTTTTCCTTCCAATATACTCAACGTAAGTTCCCGGGAAGTCCCCCCTCTCCCCGGTGGTTTCATTATAGCCATTTAACCAGCCAATTTCTTCTGGCCGGGCTTCCTGTCCATCACTGAATCCAAGCGCAACCAAGGACCCTTTGTTCACAGTCAGTATGTCCCCCAGGTGGAGGTCGATATCTTCTTCCCTCTCCTTCTTATAGTCGTACAGCGCTCTGTACTGGTAGCCCTCGGCACTCATGCTTGCAGAGGGCACCCCGCAATGGATGAGTCTGGTGGCACACTGCAGTCTAAGTTTGCGTTTGGACAGAACAGGAGTTCGGAGAGTGTGTTAAAATTCCCACTAGGTGTCCGGCAGAGGACAAGGGGCCACTCTCCGAAGGTTTAAGAGGAGAGCTCACTGGCCATCCGGCTGTCCATCTGTCCTCCATCAATGGCGTGGCTGCAGACGGTCTCTGCTTCTGTGTGCCACAGGTCCCTCTGGCTTCCTTCTCAGCAACTTGTCAGCACGCTGACTCCAGGCTGCCTCTCACGGCGAGGCCCAATCCTCTCTGACGTTCTTGTCACACTGTCCATCTGTCATCCGATTTTACAGTTGCACTCCACACTCAAGCTTCACCTAGCAAGGGAAAAACAAGACTTATGAATGAACATCACACTTCGCCATCTGCGTGAATCTGAATTTCTACTTCCATTCACCGAGTATTTAATCAATTTGGCAGACACACATGGGACAGTGCGTGGCCCCGTGAGAGTACATGACGAAGATGAGTAAGACGGTCCTTGCCTTCTAAGAACACAGGGCAGGGAGGGGAGGAGGGGCACTGGCATGTGGCAATGTCTCAAAGATAAGACTAGTACACAAGGAACCAAAACATTAGGTCAGTGCTGTAACAGGCACACACTAAATGCTCGGGCGATCAGCTGAGGGAGAGGTCACATCAAGCTGCAGGTATCTGAAGACAGAATGGAATGTGTAGTATGATCCTAGGTGCAGGAGTGAGTAAGCATGTGTCCTATTCTGGGAAGAGCTAGAACAGGCAGTCCTATCCATCTGAAGCCAAAGAGGGAAGAGCAGACCTGGGCTGGAAAGACAGGTAGGAGCCGTCTGACACCACGCATGCCCTTGAGAAGCGTGTGGGTGATCCAGTCCACAGTGGGGAGCTCTGGAAGGGCAGGGACAAAAGGGAGCACGGGACTGCAGCTGCACCTGAGGAATCTCGAGCTACAGAACCATGATGCGTGGGAGGGGCTGGTTTGGGGCAAGAACAGAGGTGAGGAACGTGGAGAGAAGTGTGTTGCGGCAATCTGGGCCAGCGGCCAAAGGGCATGAACCTGGGAGGCAATGGCGGTAGGAATGCAAAGGAAAGGGCTGAAGTAAGAGGCACTGTAGGGGAGGCTGAGTGGGAGGCGGCAAATGCTTAGATGTGGGGGGAGCAAAGGGTGTCTGACCCTGCGTTACTGGCAAGAATCTGATATCAATTCCAGGCAAAGGGAAGCCAGGAGACTCAATAAACTTACAAGGATGCAGGCATCCACCCGCTGGTGTGCTAGTGGCTGCTTAAAACCTGGGCGGTGATTTGGGACAAGGGACACAGAGATTTGGTAACGATCTACAAATAGAGCAAAGCTGAATTCAATGAAGTATAAAAGCCCATCAAATGAAAAAAAGTAAAGAACTCATCCAAGGATCACACATTCCAGTTTGATGAACCCAAATGAGAAAGTCATGGTTCAAAGGCGATGCTTCGTTCCAGAAACATGGAACAAGAGGGCGCAGGAGTGACAGCGAGGCCTAGGAGTAAGCCCCGCAGAAGCATCCACACGGGGGAGACTAAGTCAAGGCTAGAAAACGCGAAGCTCGGCTCACTGTGGAATCATCACTGATTTTTTAAGAAAGCAGAGGCTGGCAGCGAGGACAGTAACAAGATTTTCAGGAGTTAAGAAATCGGAGGAAGTAACTATGGTTGCTGTAGGGTACTCAATACTACCTTACTGGAGAGAGGATGGGTAAGGAAAGCATGTTTCTTGTTGTCTTTAAGCACACTGGAGGCACGGCATTCAGAGTGTCAAAGGCTGTCCAACAGAGTCGGGAAGTCCAAGTGTACGGCTGACAGGACAGTGCACGTGTGGACACACTTTGGATCCCATTCGCTTCCCACTGTTATCTTTATTATAAAGTGTAAAAGCAACCAAAAGGTGTCAGTTAAATTGGAAGCACAATAATGCAATAAAAACAACAGCCACACAACTTCAGGATGCTATGTCAAAGGGAGCTTTTACAAGTTTTGAAGAATGAAACACTTCAGGTTTCATATTATAGGCACTCTTCAGTGTAGGCAACAGAAGCCAAATTGAATCACAGACTAATTGTTATGTTGGCATTCAGAAGTGTAAAGTATTCAACTTTACATGGTTAAAACCTCTTAGCTGTAATACAATAACACTCTTAGGAGAGTTACATATTAAAAGGAGGCAAAAACAAACACTGGAAGTCGTTGTGTATCAAGAATATTAATTTGGGTACTCTACTTTGCATTCCAGTCATCAGAGAAAAAAAGTAATGCATCCAGTGAAGCATATGAAAAAAATAAGCTATATTATCTGTCTGAAGAAAGCCTCCCCTTCCGAAAGATCCAGAAGCAAATTAAATATTCCTTGCATAAATTCACACAAAAATGTAGAACTAGCAAATCTCATTTTTAGTACTAATGTACTCTGTATGAAAGAGACACAGAGCTCTAAAGAACACGGAAATTTACATATCCCTAAATGCTTGGAAACCAGGCAATATGCCTAAGAATAATTTAATTCTTCCAAATCTGCCTTCAAACTTTTGTTAGCTTTTCCTGGCAATGTATGACTTTTTGGAGAGGAAAACAAAAAAATCCTAAACCAGTAGTTGGACAGATCTGTATGCTAGCTTCTTCCTAGCACTTCCTCAATTTCAACCACTCAGTGGGCCAGTTTAGTGGGATTCTTAACAGAATGGGAAGTGTAATGATTCACCCCTGCCCAGTCCCCCAGAAACCATCAACTAAGCTCCTGCTCACAGTACACCTATGTAGCCATGCACATCCCTCACGAGGGGGCGCTGCAGTAAGAAAAAGCCCCAGGACTTCAAATTCAGCAAACCTGAAAACTATGCTTGAGTCTCTCTGGAGCTAAATCTGTACACAGGGCAAAAGAACCTGGAGACACCTAAACAGGCTCCACTCAAGAGACATCCCCACCAAACATGCAGAAACCTAGGAGTCTTTAAACCACTCTGCAGAAGAACATCACTTCTGTGTAAAAAAAACCCGGTGCAAAACTCTTGAGTCCTAGTCTGATACAAGAAGCCCAGATCTTCTTTGACTCTAGAACTGTACGCAGAACACACCATTTCTGCCTTCTGAGACTCCACAATCACAATCACCGCTAGGAAGATGGATGCAGACAGGGCAGGCTTACCAGTTCAAGGTCGGCCACCGATTCAGGGCAATGTTGTAAAAGACAAGCATTGATGAGTCATTTATTTGGGTGGGGACCTGATCACGTGGTGGTCTGGTACAGAGAGAACTTTGCTGGGTAGAGGAGGCAGGTCCCTCTACCTGACTGCACACAGTATACTTTCTCTTGGCTGCCACACCCATTCTAATGAGTGCCACTGTCATCATCAAATACTTATTGGACGTGGTGCGTATTAATATGGTGCACATTAACCCCATTAAAACCCCAAGATCATCATGCAAAGTGGCACTATCCCTATTCCCACTTTACATATGAGAACACTGTGGGACAGAAGTTTATCTTGGCCATTATCCTCAGCGATTAAGAGGTGGAACCTTAATCTAGACTTAAGCAGTATGGCTCCAGAACCCTCACTTTTACCACATCTGAACCTACTTGCTTAGGTAACCAAGGGCCACCTAGGTACTCCATGTCAGGGCTGTTAAAGACACAGAGTGCTTGCCTTGCCCAAGCTGGCCTCTCAGACTAACCTTAAACGTCTGCCTTTCTTCTCACACAGCTGCCTCACTGATAGTGTTTGGCTCTCTCACAAAAAAATAAAATAAAAAGCCATTATAACTCAGCAGAGGTCCCACCACATCTGAGACCCAGCAACACAGCCATGCAAAGTTTCTTCCAGAGAGACCCCATTAAAATGCATCCTTGCCCAGGAAGTCCATAAACTAGTAAATAAAAGAAGCCTTCTGGAAGGCTGCCCACTTCTCTCTGTAACCGTAGCTTCTGTCACTTGTATCCTCTTGGCATCTCTGTCTCCTGTCACTACCCTGTTTCCCCCCACTGCACAATTTTCAACAACTGCTCCTCCCTAGGGAGACATTTAAACATCAATCTCAAGTCACAGGATTGTCATATCTATGGGACTAGCAAGTTCTCTTCTCTCACCCTCAAATCGCCCCCAGAACAGTGCAAGACCCAGGTGCCTAAGGCACTGGACAGTACCTGTGTAAAACTCATCCATCTGGAGTCCGAGCTATCAGACTGACAGACACATCTCTGCCAGATTCACTACATTGTGCTCTATTCCCTTTGGTTGCTCACTCAACTATTTCCCCCCAGATCCAGCACACTAATTTACATAGCAAAGGTTTCTATATGTCAACAATATTTATTAAACACAACTTAGTATTTACAAATAACCAGGGCAGTTTTATGATGTAAGCTCCAACATGTTCACAAGTTACTGTAACATAAGGTATAAAGAAATCCTACGAACAAGTATCAAATTAACTAGCTCACAAAACATCATACGCAACAGTTTCCTCAAGGGGATTATTTTGCTCTTGTCTTTCGACCCTTTTAAGGTCTACCTGAAACCCCATGAACTGGAAGTACATTTTTCCCCATGCTAATATACTGCGCAATTCTTATTGTTTCTTTAAATTATTTCTGGCCAGACACAGTGGCACATGCCTATAATCCTGCACTCTGAGAGGCTGAATCAGGAGGATTACAAATTTGAGCCCAGAATGAGCAACTTAGTGAGATCGGTCTCAAAATTAAAAAAGGGCTGATACGTAGCTCAATGAGAAAACCCTGGGTTCAATCCCCAGTACTAGTGGGAAAAAAAAGTTTCTGACGCTTGACAAACAGCAATCTGTGACTGTTTAATGTACAACTGCTTGAAAGAGTTTTTCAGTTTAACTCTCTAACCTGCAGGCACATGGCAAAGGACCAAACAAAATTCTTCGAAAGGCCCTCTGATTTTATTGACCCACTTCATTACTCTTTTACAAAAGACGTGATTTTGAAAATTGGACGTGGAGCAGGAATAAAAGATATTTTCAGATCACATAAACTAAATGGAGAACAGTGTGTATCCTAGTCACGATTCTGTCCTGCAGTGCAAGTGGAGGTTAGTGCTGGGGGCCGCAGCAAGTGGGTCTTCTGTCGAGGTAAGGAGGGTGTGGAGAGTTGGTAACCACACAACCTTGTATCCCACCCCACACCCCAAATGTGCCAGCTCCAAGTCTAGGGCAAGCTCCCCACCTCGACTCACAGTCTCAACAAGAAATCATTATTGAAAAATCTTCCGACCTACCACATTTTTGGAAATCATACACACACAAAAAAACAAACTGAACAAAGTTAAACATGCTAGTATAAAGAGTTTTTGTACTTTCAATTTAAACTACCGTAATGGACACGGTGAATTTTATGGCATGTGAATTTCATCTAAATTAAAATTGAATGAAAGTAAGGGGCTCACCTGAAGATCAAAGTTATGAGCATCAAATCTCTCAATTCATTTTTTCAGCCAACTGCCTAAGGGGAGTGTGCAACCTGCTGCCCCGTCTGGGGCTGGGTAGCTAATGTAAGAGGGCATTGGAGACTGTGATCCCTGTCCACAGCCCTTTAGGGGCCTGCACTGTGAGCCCACTCTTCAGAAAGCCCTGTGATGGGCATCACTGAGCTCAAAGGAAGAGCAGAGAGTGACCCCCGCCCAGCTGCCAGCACCCCTGGGTCTCAGTGGTCATGGCAGAAAGGCTGAAAGAAAGCACAGTGTGACCAGCAAGGCTGAGGAACAGAGCACATCACCCACAGCAGGCCGCAAAGCCATCATCACAGCAGAGAGAGGCCAATCCGGTCACCACCGAAGGAGATGAGTAGAGAAGATGACCTGAAGTCCCCTGTCTTGTGGAAAACAATGCTACTCCTTAACATTCCTGGCAAGAAGGTCATATAACAGTTACAGACAGGCCGCTGTCCCATCAGTGCCTAGATATCTGACCTTGGGTAAGTCACTTAAACCTCTCAGCAGCACAGTTTTATCCCCTATGAGATACAACAAGCAAACTTACACCTCCCAGGGTCATCATGAAGATTAAAGGAAATTGCACAGGCAGAGTGCGTAGCTTGACAATAAAAGCCCAATATAATTAACAACTCGGAGGTCACTATGTGCCAGGCGCAGTTCTGAGGTGCACGTGTATCAATTCATTTTGTCCTTACACTCAAACTAGGCACAACCATCATCCTCATTTTGCAGATAAGCACAGAAGCAGAGAAAGGGCAGACAGTGTCCCTGAAGTTACACAGCAACCTGCAGCTATGGTATTACCACCACTATTAGTAATAACAGTATGAGTAGCACAGAATGTTGTTTACTGCCATTTATATGACTTGGATTTAAAATGCAAACAGATATCTGCCAGTTTTCTCTCGCACTGCCTCTGAAAGCTACACACAGCTCTCACTGATTCCTGAAGCTAGCTGAAATAAAACCTGCTGGAAGGAGACAGATAAAGGCCGCAGCTGACCTTTGCCCAAGGATTTCTCTCCTCACCTGAAGGTGATGGTGCTTTGGTGAGGTTGGGGCAAAGGAGACCTGTGAGGGGTCAGGGGCATGATATGTGCACAGGAGGGGGCAGCAGGTGGTAGAGTTAGGGAACAATACTGCTCCTCCACAGAGTTCGTGCACTACCTCAGAGAAAAAATGAACGGAGCAATACAGCGCCCCCAGGGACTGAAGGCAGATGTGTCCTCACTGGCCTGAGTCCTGGGCTGGGGCCAGTGGGGCATCTCAGAAGGAAGCCAAGGGGCAAAGCCGGGCAAAGCCAGCCAGCGCAGGGCATCTGAGTTTATCAGGCTACTTCCCCGCTGGTGGAGCCTCCACATACTCCAGCCAGACACCTTCAACTTCAATACTCTCTGGGGTGATCATTAACTTCAAAACTATTTTGACTACAGGTGCCTGTGGCTATGTATTTGATTTACTTTACAGAAAACAATGGTGGAAGAATAAAATCTACCAAGGTTTTGTTATGGTAGACTTTTTTTTTTTTTTTTTTTCTTCAGTAAAAGCTACACTACATTCATTCTACCCTTTCACAAAAAGATGGGGGGGGGCTAACATAAGTCAAACACACAAGTTTATAAGTAATGACATTGTTTATTTTCAGTTCTTTTGGCTTAGTGTACATGAAATGGCTTTTGATTGCTACTCTTACTTAGGTAAGTTATTTCAATAAGAGCATTGGCAGAATCTTCTCAAAGTGATCATTGTAGGGTGACGGTGGAAGAGCCTGGAAAAATATAACGAGTACAGTGATACAAACACTTTAAAAATTGGTTCCTGCACACTTATAATCCTAGCATTTGGGAGGCTGAGGTAGGAGAGCAGCTGTAAGTTTGCAGCCACCCTGGGCTACATAGTAAAAGTTCAAGGCCAGCCTGAACTTCACAGCAAGATCATGTCACAAAAGCACACACACACTAAAATTTACAACTTAGATTTTTAATAAAAAGCTGCAATATGATTTATGTCTCCTAAATTAAAATTGATAACCCTTTCCATGGATTGGCAACTTTCCAGCCTTGGAGGACTTCACTGGGATACTGGCTAAGGCCTTAAGCCCTGTGAGAGAGAGGTCTGTCTAAAACATTTAATAGATGGGTACTTAAGCTTTTCTCATTTCTGCTGCATTGTATGAACCTCAAACATCAGAGAATTAAAAGTAAAAACATGCAAACATTATCTCAGCTTGCTATATTGTACCTGTCTATTACATCAATTTTTTTTCCAGTCGGCTAACTCACAATGTCTTTATTCAATAAGGCACATTTTGCAAATCACAAAATGCAAACACAATAAAAGCTGAACTAGACTTGTTCCTATTTTAAGAACCACACAGACAATCTCTCAGAATGGATGCCTTTTTACAACACTCCCTTGAAATACCTGGGAAGAGAAAAAAAAGAACTTTCAATCAAATATCAACCTAAAAATTAGGGAAAAGTTACATTAAAGGGATGGCCAATACTTTTATTAACAGTATAAAGCTGGGCAAGTTGAATATAGATTTGCACTCAAGCTTCAAACCCTTCAGAAATCAGCTTAGGTGTAAGATGAAATTGACATTTCCAGAAGATAAATGACTACCTAGTCATCCCTGTCAATAACCAAAGCAATATTCTTGTGACTTACTGTGCCAATTGTGTTTCTCAAAACAAACTTTACAACACAAATGTGTTTTTTTAAAAAGCTGAAGAAAACAATATATTTAATCAGTAGGAAGTGAAATGCTTGTGTACATGAATTATACAGCACCACAGATACGAAGACAGTGCTGCTGCTATCAGCATTAAAAAAAATAAAACAGCTGATAACAATATGTACATTGTAGAGGTCTTGCGCAACTAAGAACAGGTCCCAAATTAAGAAGAGAGTTAAAAGTGAATGCACCCAACACGCTGAAAGCCAGGATCACATACATCAACCTTTCTTCCAAACATAAAAATCTACAGATTTCTATAAAAAAAGTAGTATGACCCTCCGGTGCCTACCTGCAACTGACACATCTAAGCTAAAGAAGTGGTCAGTGACAGTAGCCAGCACTTCTGCAAAGCTGGGAACCTCCCCAGTTGGCCTCTTCTATTTAAACTTTGCCTCCGCGCCAAAAGAAAAATTTTACAGCTTAAAAAAATCACTAGCAATTCTTTACAGTGAGCAAAACACTTGTAGCTCAAAGTTTATGCAATTTTGATACCTAAGAAAGCTATGGTCTGCTTGCTTTTCAGTGGTTTATTTCAAGAACAATCTGTCGAAAAGGTGCTGGTGCTTTTCCTGTGCTGAAGTCACCAAATTCCTGATTTATACCTGAACATCTATCACCCTGAGAGCCTGTCTCAGAAATGAACCTGTCCGCCTACTCCAATCTTTCCTAGCTAATAACCATCTTTAAAGTTGCCAAAACCTAGCAGAAGCTAATGAAATATTAAAATGTAATTGCACAGAAAGCCTAGGTCAAAAAGCTTTGTGAATATCCCGCCTAACAACTAAAACTTGAAACTCGTCACACTGAAATGACAATCTCGAGCTGCATTCAAAACCTGGAACTGCTTTACCCATTCCTACTTCGCACGGACTGACAAAGAGGAAAAGAACGGGGTGGGGGGTGCACCCTGAAGTCCCAAAACCCCAAGTAAAGAGTAAACTCGCTCTCGGACGCTAAGAGCGCCGCAGCTCCTCCAGGAATAACCGTCCCGGTCTTCACAGCGCCCGAGGCAGAATCCCCCAAAATCCGGTTCCTACACATCCTGCATTCAACATGTAACAGCCATTCCGCTCACATGCTTGCGTTTTTATGCTCGAATTCTGGTTCTCAAAATACAATTCTGCAAGCGGGTACCTGGCTCTCTTTGTCTCGCGATCTGCGGGGCAGTTTCTGCCTTGGGAAGTGACTGCAGGAGCTGTGGCTCCCACCCGCCCACCCCCAGCCCTGATATTTCAGCTCCGGCTCGCTCGCTCGCTCGCTCTCCCCAGCCGGCTCCATATTGCTGGGCAGGTCCCTCCAGTCTCGCCCTGAGACGCAAAACGCTGGGTTTCCGGGAGAGGCCGAGACCCCACTAAGGGTGCCTCCGACAACCTGCCCCACGCTACGCGCAGAGTCCGGCCCCCGCGACCGCCCGCCCGAGGCGCACTTCCCCCACCCCGGAAGAGGAGGGCAGCCAACTTCGGAGGGCGGGGGCCGGGCGCGCTCGGGGACCTCGGGGACCCCGCCTGCCTGCCCGGGGCCACGACCCCGGCTGCAGCTGGAGGCTGCGGGGGAAGGGAACGCTGCTCTGCGCGGACCCGGCACGGCCGAGGCGCCCTCAGCGGGCCGGCCCGGGAGGCTGCACCCGGCGACCGGGGGACCCTCGGAA